TCACTATGTCAGTCAGTCACCTTTGAGTTTTATATATATAGATAAAAAGATTGAACATTGAAAAAAAAATGATTTAAGTACCTTCCTATTATGTTTTGATTAAAGTTCTTCCGTCCGCAACTTTGTCTGCGTGAGCTTGGTCATCAGTATTAGGTTCTTTTTCATTATTACTATAAAATGAATTTAATAGATATTATTATGTATCTACGTGAGCTGTTTACACATGATTGCATCAAACTTTCATATTATAATTATTTGTAGAATTGCGTGATGACCCAAAGTTAATTGTAGGTATTAGTTATATCCTTGAAATAATGAAAGGTTTACAGTATTAACAAAAATAATCAAAATGTTAAAATTCATTGATTCTTAATTGACAAGAGTACCTAAGCACTTCGATTTTGATTCACTGTAATTGATTATTTCGTTCGCGTGAAATGAAATATTAATCATAATAATAACTAAGAAAGCAGAAGTTATGTATTTTTTGAAGTATTTAACTGCTAGACGTTTAAATCTAAAAAAAAAATTAAAAAAAATATACGCAGACTGAGCAGCAGACGGGACTCGAACCCCACACCCTTTGCTATCCGAGCGAATGCTACGTGCATTATGCTACCGCGGTCCTGATGGTCGTGTCCAATTTTCTTTAGCAATTCTTAGGCTGCAAGGCAGCGCCATCTCTTCGCTTTGTCAAATGAATACCTTTACAAGTATTAAACATTTGAAAGAAGAAATAGCAATTTTAGTTAGAGTCTGTGCGGAAAGAGAATGGGATTTAGATTGAAGGGCGCTGTAGTGCTTTTCTACCGCATTTGTAAGGTTTTACCCCTTTTAGACTTGATTAAATACAAAAAAACCGCAAGAAATCACAACAACAAACAAATCCGTATCAATAAAAAACATTGACATTTTACAGATTGCTGGGTACAGTTTTTATTTGGCAATCAAGCCAAATAAAAATCTTGATGTTAGTTCCGTTTTTCGCCACGCCCATTCGCTTTCCGCACAGACTCTATACATATTTTTATTCCTTTTAAAGCATTTAACTGCTAGATGTTTAAATCTAAAGAATCTTTTTTTAAGTAAAACAGAAGTTTACTATCTTTAAAGCGACACACGCAACATTCCAAAGCTGTAGGTATAGTTATACAAAAGTTTCGTGTAATCTTAGTTTTGTGGTGTCTCCTTATTTTGTGCCTGTTCATGTTATAATCATTACCTAAGTCTGTGGTCACATTTACCGAGCTAGTGGGTACTTCTCGCCACATTAACGTTGACACGTATTTGCGGCAGACTGGAAATATCACAGAATATATTAACACCTCGTTACGTATTCCTTTATAAATGAAATGGTAGGTATTTCAATCTACTGCTTTCATTTAATTTTGTTTTCAAATGAAACTTTTATTAAACCACCACATATTATTTTGTTCATCTTTAGCATGTCGCACATTTTAATCTTTACATCTATACTCTATCATCATCATCATCAGCCTATTAATGTCCCCACTGCTGGGGCACAGGCCTTCCCTATGAATGGAATAGGGAGATTGGGCCATGACCCACCACGCGGGCCCAGTGCGGATTGACGGGTGCTAACGACTGCAGATGCAGCCGGGATCAACGGCTTAACGTGCCTTCCGAAGCACGGAGGAACTCGAGGTAGTAAATTTTTGGTCACCCATCCAATGACCGACCACTGCGAAAGTTGTTTAACTTCAACGATCGCAGCCGAACGCGCTAACCACTTGCGCTATCGAGCTCGAGCTCCTCTATACTCTATACATATTAATAAAATTTGAGTATCTGTTTGTAATATTGAAATTACCGCTTTTTGCTAAATGCATATGCATTTAGCAAAATGTAACGAATATTCGCATTCGCATTCGCAAATATTCGCATATTTTTGAATATTCGCATTCACATTCGCATTCGCAAAATCTCTGCGAATGTTTTGCGAATATGAATATTAGAAAAAAAACAATTTGAAGAAGTTGTAGTTTTGACTTTCCTTGAATATTCATTGTTACACAGTTTGCATTTAGCTCGTTCAGCATCGCAAAGTAAGAAATAAGTCCATGTTTCACTAGAATTCGATTTACTCATGTTAATAAATCACTATTAGCACTCACAATCACTAAACTCAAAATTCACTTGTTTTGTGGTGCTTTCTTGACTGGTGCGAGCGGAATGACACTTCAGTCAGATGAGTTCATATCAACTCGGCAATTCGAACGAGACTGCCACCATGCCATAGACAATTGGCGCCAATTTAAAAAAAAATGACATTCGTTACATCACTAATATGTATACGGTACATTTTTTACACGCAACTTACCTGTGCCATCGAGTTCCTACTTACCTATGTATTATGTGTTAATCAAAATAAAATTTTGTAAAATTTTCTTAAAAAATCTTATCCCAACAAAATCCTGGATCGTAAGGAACTTTATTTTGAAAACGTGTTCCCTTATACGATCCCATATATTGTGTTAGGTATTCCTAGTTCAGTATTCTTGTCTGTCTTGTAACTTCTCGAATAGCAAATCGATTTTATTCCTTTCAGTGGCTGTGTTACGTAAACAGAGTAGCGTCAACAGAATAGTATTGTTAGCTCGTGCACTATCACCTAGGGTTGTCATCGACCTACAGTCGAAATCCAACATTGTTTTGCGCATAGCAATACAATGTTGGATTTCTTAAACAATTGATTTTTTCCAAGTTTTCCCAAAAAATTTGAATCTTTTTTTCTGGTAGAAAATTATCTCTCTTGTCTTACTATAATCATGCAAGAAATTGGAAGGACTTTCGTTTCCCAAACGTTTGCCTGTCCGTATGCAATGAGTATCTGAATTTAAAGTAATATATTTGATCACATTTGCTCAAAAAATGCATTTACGGAGGTTGTATACATTGTTCGAAAGTTCAAAATTGCGGGTCATAAAATAGAGCGCGTCGTGCTATACTATAGGTTTTTTTTTTAATTTTGCACGAGCCTCTATGGTAGCGTGTTTAATCTACACATTTTTCTCACTTGATAGAGAGAGAGAGAAAAAAAACCTAAAAATTTTGTTCTAATTTTCACCACCCGCACGTGGCACCATTTAAAAATGCGTGTCATTTTCCTTTTAGAAACAGTTTACTTCAATTACTTCATTAATTAAAAAATATACTGTTTTCTCGCAAATGTGTTGAAAAAAGTTGTATGACATTTATGCGGAATTGGTATTTACAAACTCATGACTATGGTGAACCCTTGACTTCATCTCAGGCTTACATTCGTCTCATCATCATCATCATCATCATCAGCCCATTAATGTCCCCACTGCTGGGGCACAGGCCTTCCCTATGGATGGAATAGGGAGATTGGGCCATGATCCACCACGCGGGCCCAGTGCGGCTTGGTGGGTGCTAACGACTGCAAATGCAGCCGGGACCAACGGCTTCACATGCCTTCCGAAGCACGGAGGAGCTCGAGATAGTAAATTTTTGGTCACCCATCCAATGACCGACCACTGCGAAAGTTGCTTAACTTCAACGATCGCAGCAACAGTCTCCACTCATTACATTCTACACATTACACTACACTCGTCACCACATTCGTCTACTCGTTAGTAATAACCAACTTACCGCACTAATATCATAAATAACTATGATGCCTTACAAAAAATAAACATTGACTGAATCCTGTATGGTGATTTTGTTACGCTATTAAAATTTACTAGCAAACCAGTGAACCAAATGTTCACCAAAACCTGATTTCTCGAAAACCGGAAGTGCTACGTTACTCAAATCCGGTTTGTAGTCTTATCAGACTATTCTTAACTTATAACTTAAATATTCTCTTTATCTATCTCTTACGGTTTGGCCGCTGAAACAGCACCACGGACAGACGGACTTGTCTAATAGATAAGAGATTCAAGCTACTCGTATCGTTGGAGAATAATTAATTTGGATAATATTACGTAAATCGTATGGTGCTTATCGCCATAAACCGAGGTTCATTTCTCGTATTTATCCCAAAGTGGCTATACATACATATTTTCCAGTTTCATTTATAGTCCGTAGATTGATGAAGAAAATCCTTTGATTCATTGTTTTGGACTAGACACTAATTCTTTGTCAATGATTTCAGTAAGTAAGCTAAACTTAAGTAAGTTAACCGAAATTATTTATAAAAAAAGCGTAGGTGATTTGTATTAGGTACTATATTTTAAAAAAAGTTTGCCTGTCCTGCTATTTAATTTTTACGTGTTAGGTAGATTTTTTTTGATAGATTGAGAGGTAGATTGCAATTTCTACTTGCGTAATTTAATTTACAAATCAGGCAACCCTAGCTCCGTACATGTGTGAAGCACAAATGCATCGAGTGCAATGTTCTCCACACCTACCTAAGTTCCAGCTCAATTGTACGAGTATATTGTATCACTCACAGAAGTAAGGATATTATTCCATAGACTCATAAACTCTGCAATTTGATGGTAGAAGGGTGAAAATTTAGGGTCGTAAGTATTTTTGTATGATGGTCGCTAAAGCGACCGACTTCATGCTGTTAAAATTTTGTGTTACAGTGATGCGCGCGCATCTTAAAATTTCACTCTCATCATTTTTTCATAACGCGCCTAAAGAAGTATAACTTCAAAAAACAAAAAAAAAATATCTAAAATTGAAAAAAAGAAATTTAGGGGTGGATTACCCTTAACATTTAGGGGGATGAAAAATAGATGTTGTCCGATTCTCAGACCTACCCATTATGCACACAAAATTTCATGAGAATCGGGAAAGCCGTTTCGGTGGAGTTTAACCACAAACACCGCGACACCAGAATTTTATAAATTAGATATATATATATATATATATATAAGTCTCGACTACGTTTATTTACACTTAGTCGTTTACCCGAATTCCATTGGAATTCTTATTCGGGCTACCGACCAAATGTAATAGCGCCGTACCCTATAGGTACACATCAACAGATTTTTTTAAAACAATCCAAATAAATGCTGTTTCTCTATTGTTTCAGTTGTACGGTGTGGTGACGCATAGACACGGGCATGATGTGTCCACAGAAGACCCGGAACTTGTAGAACAACACGAGAACATAACACACCATGGGAAGGTGAGCCTTAAAACAACGTAGTAAGACTTGTTTTATATCTCTTTCCGAATTACCTTGTGGATATTATTCTCAAAAATATCACTATGTCCTAATATTTAGACAATCCTGACTAGGAATGATGAGAAATTTTTGAAGAGAAACTTCTTTCGTACGTGGTGTAAATAAAATTCTTATGAAAAAGATGAAACGGAAATGCGTCACAAGCGTCACACGCGAAAATAAAGCGTGTAAAAATATACACATATACGAGTGATGCGTGCGTTGCGCCATTCCTCTATGCCTTATGCACTGCCTTATGTTAGGCCGTATACAGAAAGAAAGCCGAAAGCCGATCAGCGCCGATAAGCGCCGACAAATGCCGACACGCGCTGGTCAGCTGGTCATTATGATCTATGTTGTCCGAATAATAAATGATTTGTATTTAAATTATTATCCTTAGATTAAATAAATCTAAGTTATAATCTTTTTATAAATCTAATAACTATCTTTTATTAACTAAGCGCTAAAATTATTTGTTTCGTACTTAGCGAATGGTGACAACAAGTCTTTCTTCTGGAAAGATTGGTTGTTTATGCCAATTACACCAATTTTTCATCAAACGGTTTTTCACTAAATCCATAATGTAATAAAATGTTTCTTGAGTCATTCTTATATATGTATGAAATCAATGATCATCAAATTTCATTTTTTTTACAAATAAATGATGGTATTCTCCGAAACGTTTCCTTTCTCTATTTATAGGATGTATAGCTTTTTTCACATTTTTAAATACACATTTTCTAACAAAACTAAATCATCGTCCGATGAGTCCGACATTTTGCTTGCTATGCTTTAATCGGCTTCCTTTGTGTAGTAAGGATCAGCGCCGATAAGCGCTGATCGGCTTTCGGCTTTCTTTCTGTATACGGCCTTTAGGTTATTTAAGAAAAGAAATTTCACTTCAGATGTGTGGTCAATACACACTGATTTTTTTCTTCATCCATCAAGTAGTATATCAAAAAGTATTGAACACGTATTTTTTCTCTTTTCTCATAAAATCAAAACAAGAAAACGTTACCGAGATATATTGATTTGAAATGTCGCGCGTTACTTCTTCGTACAATTTTTGGTTACAAGTGAGGTCACGAGCCCCCCCTCCCAAACTTTACGGGCTGTATCATTTTATTATTTTTGTTGATAAAATATGCATTATTTTTGCTAAGGGGGCGTCCATAAATTACGTGAGATGTTTAAGGGGAGGAGGGGGTCGAGTCAAATCTCATCTAATCTTACGTTGGGGAGAGGGGGGGGGGTCTCGGCAAATATCACGCCTTTTTGTTTTCACAGTAGTATCTATTAAGTATTCTATTGTTAAATTTTTATAACACTTATAACTCTCAGCAATATTGATTACTAGTCTTAACTAGTCGTAAATAAAAGTTTACGAAAGAAACCCACATTTTGAAAAATCTCACGTGAGGTTGGGGGATGGGGGAGGGGGTTGAATAAAATCTCACGACATCTCACCAGGGGGGGAGGGAGGGACAGAAAATCCAAAAAAACAACTCACGTAATTTATGGACGCCCCCTAATCTAACTGACGGACTAAATAGAAATTTAGTCCGTCACTCCGGGGCCATGACCAACTACGGCTGCCCAGCGCGGATTGATGGGTTCTCTAAAGACTGCAGAAGCAGCCAAGTTCAATACAGAAATTTTTGGTCACCCATCCCATGACTGACCATTGCGAAAGTTACTTCACGATTGCAGATAGAGCGCACTAACTGTTATACCATCGAGATCTTCACACTTCTCGTTTAGCGTACGAAAATACCTACCTTCGTTGAAATACGACTCTGCGAAGCGATCCATGCCGTTGAGATGGAATTTGTCAAAGTCACTTGATATCGGGATATGCTTGTAATTGGATATTATAGTTGTCGGTAACTTAGTAACGTGCCTGAGAGTTGTGGCACTGGGAATTGGGAACACTGAGACAGTTATTTTAAGTACGTACTACGATGATATGTTTCAAGTTTATCAATCAATCAATCAATCAAAATCATTTATTCAGTTTAGGCTGTTACAAGCACATATGAATGTCGAGAAGCTACGCCATCGGTTCGTAAATCTACGGCGGGAGACCTTGTACTGAGAAGAACCGGCAAGAAACTCAGCAAGGGCTGTTTTTTTCTCCCTGTTTTATCATTTACAGAGTCGTCAAGTTGAAAAATGACTTCAGAGATGATTCATGAAGTCACCCTTCATTACATAATGTGAAATTATACATTAATTGTACACCTGCATTTTGATTGCTGTGTCACACAGTATAAATACAAACAGAGTTATTTATAATAGGTGTAATTAAACATTTATATCTTAAATATCAAAGTAGTTAGGGCAGACTCATCTCCGCTGGCAGCACCCGTTCACGAGCATGACGCATGAACCAGCCATCGCTTCGCTCAACCATATTTTAGGGAACGTAACGACCCGCCTCACACGACACCACCGAAGAGACTTTTAAGAGAGCATGACTACCCATAACCACCTATATCAACCACAACATATTTACTTAAACTTAAAGTCATTTATCTGTAGGACACTGCAAACAATTACAAAGCAAAACAATGGAGAAATCATGACCACGCCGTTTTGTCATTCAAATCTTCTTAAATAGTCTGATATTCTTCCTTACGTAATCAGCTTTAAATACAGCTTTTCAATAAAAGTATCATCAACACATGATCCATAATATATATCATATAGAAATACCCGTTGGAATGGTTGGAACAGTTCAAACCCAAGCATTTTTGTCTGTAATATAATCAGACACTTTATAATAAGCATTCTTAATAAGAGTTTTTTTAATAGTCGATTTAAATTTAGTCAGGCTCAACTCTTGAATATTGCTTGGGACTTTATTGTAAAAGCGAACACAGAGGCCTCTAAACGAGTTATTAATTTTGTGGAGCCTAGTAGCAGGTAAAGTTAACTTATTTTTACTTCTAGTATTAAGTGTATGTATTTCACTATTTTTAGTAAATAAACTAATATTTTTTTTGACATATACTAAGTTTTCATATATGTATTGTGATGCAACCGTCATTATGCCTATTTCTTTAAACTTATTTCTTAAAGAGTCCTTAACTTTAAGATTATAAATTGATCGAATAGCCCGCTTCTGCAACACAAATATTGTTTGAATATCGGCGGCATTTCCCCACAGTAAAATACCGTAAGACATTACACTATGAAAATAACTAAAATAGACTAATCTGGCAGTTTCTATATCCGTTAACTGACGTATTTTCATTACAGCATATGCTGCAGAGCTAAGTCTCTTCGACAATTTATCAATATGTGGGCCCCATTGCAACTTTGAATCTAGTGTGATTCCTAAGAACACTGTGGTATCTACAAGGCTCACATTTCGATCCTTTATATTTACATTCGTTTTTACCTGTTTAACATTAGGTAAAACAAATTTCAAACACTTAGTTTTCCCTTCATTTAGCAGTAAATTATTAACGTTAAACCAGTGGACTACCTTAGAAATAGACTTGTTCACGTCGTCAATTTGCGACTGCCTACGTTTAATTTTAAACAAAAGTGAAGTGTCATCCGCAAACAATACTATTTCATGGTTATCCTTTACAAAATAAGGCAAATCATTGATATAAATTAAAAATAAGAAAGGACCAAGGATTGAGCCCTGCGGAACTCCCATCTTAACCGACGAACCAGGAGATTTTTCTCCATTGATGTCAACCCTCTGAACCCTATCACTCAAATATGATACAATAAGATCCAGAGTGGTGTCTCTAAATCCATAGTGCTGTAGTTTCCTGATCAATGTTTCATGAAAAACGCAATCGAATGCCTTTGATAAGTCGCAAAACACACCAAGTGCATCATGCGAGTTCTCCCAGGCATCAAAAATTTGCTGTACAAGCTCAACACCGGCATCGGTTGTTGAGCGACCCCTTGTGAAACCAAATTGTTTACTATGCAGAAAGTTATTACTATAAAAATATGATTGCATTTGATCTAGCATAATCTTTTCAAAAATCTTACTAAAGGTGGGTAGCACGGATATGGGTCTAAAATTTGTGGGGTCAGATGTGCTACCCGATTTATGCAATGGAGTTATTTTACTATGTTTCATTAGATCAGGAAAAACACCACAGTCAACACATTGATTAAAAATGCTAGCCAGAATAGGAGCTATTGTCTCAATTACTGATCTAGAAACATCCACGGAGTTACCCCACAGATCCGCGGTTTTCTTTTTATTCAATTGGTTAAAATATTTGATTATGTCTTTAGAGTTAACATATTTAAATTTAAATTGACTAGTACCTTGTGTTATGTTTTCTTTTAATATTGATTCAGCAGCAATGGGGGAGGAGTCCAAGGATTTTGTAGTTGAAACTGGAATATCAGTAAAAAAATTCTCAAATGCTGTAGCAACTTCAGTATCTGATGTAACATTTCTATTTTCAATGTTTAAATTAAAGCTGGTATTTCGAGATTTAGATTTTCCAGTTTCATTGTTTATAATGTTCCATGTCATTTTAATTTTGTCATTACTATTCTTAATCTTACAACTTAAATAATTTGATTTAGCTGTGCGACATACCTTTTTAAATAACTTAGAATAATTACGTACATACTCTCTGAATCTTTCAGTAGTATTAATGCTGCGTTCATTGTATAGTTCATAAAGTTTTCTTCTACTGTTATGTATGCCTGGGGTGGCCCACTCACTGAAGGTTACTGCATCACTAACACATATGGTTTTGGGAACGAAGACGTCATTAAATTCTTTACAAAATATATTAAAAAAATCATTATACAACTCATTTGGACTGTCTTTATACTTTAAATAACTCAACTTCCTATCTAATTGAATTTTAAAACGCTGTATACGATTAACTGATTTTGGCACAATAGTGATACATTTCTTGGTTACATTTTTATTTGGATGTGGAAAAGTAATCAACTGACCACAATGATCA